GATAGTAACAATCTCCTACTTTACATTTCATCTGGGGTTGATCAGTTATCGAATTCGATCACGATCTTATGCATCAATTATTATCACCCCATTCAAGTATAGCTAACCTATCGACGAAGGCTTACGCAGTAATTTGTCTGACAAGTGTGTTTTGATGATCAATATAACCCAATACGACAGACAAGCTGTTTTAATTGATAGTAAAATCAAACTGTATGTACTGTAATAATAGCTGGGAGAAGACATTGGATTGTGAAACACTAAACTGTAACAAAATTAACAAATCAAAATCAACAACTATAAATTGCTGAACAAAAACAAACTGGAAAATATCTCCGTAAAACAAAACGAGAAATGAGAAGAACAAACTTTAAAACATAAACAAACATGTGAAATACATGTCTAACAGGTGAATTACAACCAGGTCAATAAATAAGGGAGAGTCTATTTCTCAGCCGGTAGGTGAGGTCAGAAATTCCGGACACAAAAAAGACTAGAGGTAGGTAACCCTAACACTAATCCTAACCAAGAATTCCTGATACATGAATTTTCGGAAGGGATACAATGGTCAAAGTCGACCTGATCTCGTCTCCAAATGATCTGATCTCCCCAACCAGTCTGAAAATTGACAACACCAATAAATAACCTCATGTAATCACTGGTTACCTGTGACTAGTGTCACGCTGTATATATGAATCTAGTTGTTTTATCCAGTCATTCAGTTCATCTCTCACCCTAGTTAGTAAAACAGTGATTATGATCAAATTAATCAATTCAAATACATGTAATTTAAAATCATTCATCCAAGAAAAGGGAAAGAAAAGGAATCCATTTCTTAGGTCTGATACTCCGGAATAAATGACAAATACAGCCTAGCAGACATTGATCAACTCTAAAATTTAAGTCATGTCAATCTGAAGTTCACATCAGTTTTCTTTTATTTCCCAACATCTTTTAATCTCCTCACTCCCTAATCGTCTTATCGAGGCTTGTAACAATAATTCATTTCCATTTCTTAACATTGACAAGGCCAAAATGGTAGCTAACCTATTGTTATGTTTTTTGATCTAAATATACTGGCTAGCTGACTTCTGAAGGATATCTGATTTCTATCAAGTTCAAGATGATATATAAGTTTTTCTGCTTTAATTGTCTAATCCACTATTTATAAAGAGCATTTTTCAACTAATTTCTAGGATTTAAAATGTTTTGACTTAATTTTTTATACATAAGGGCATAGGATATGTTGATAAATGAGTTGTTGGCTTAAGTTAATAATAATCAAAGTGAACCTTTAAACTTAGTAAAAATAAAATGGTTTATCTTTTTTAGAATTGTTAACCTAATGAAAAGACTCAAATTCATGAAGACACTTGAGTTAAAATGACATAAATAAGACCAATAATATCATTTTAAACAGACATGACTAAGATCTTTTTGTTCATGACTCAACGTTTTGGTTGGGTATCATATTTGTTGAAATTGATAATGATATCAGAAACTGAAATAACATATTTAGCTGATGTCAGTCGAACAACGATCATTTTATTATTTGCAAAAAATCTATAGCAGTGATTCTCAAACAGGAGAAATTAAAGCCAGGAGAGGAACTTAATAAAGTGGTTTTGGTTAACAGCATATAGACATAAAATCAAATATCAGATTTATGATTCATTCAAATAACTGTTTCAGTTGGCTGTTCCGTTTTAAAAATTGTTTCAATAATTACTACTGTAAAAGTATAATGGTGAATAAATTAACTAGGGCTGCAATGTGGAGGAATTTGACCTGTAAACCACTGTCCCATAGCAAAGTTTTAAAGATTTCAATTTTCAGCTGAACATAAAATGTACATTCATTTCTTAAATTTGTCATCTGTTGACAGCAAATCATTTCTCAAAAACATTTGTAAACTATTTGTAAAAGCAGAAACTCAAAAAATGTTGATTACATTCACAAATTCACCCGAGATTGTTTACTTATCATCATGTTTCAGTAATGTTAGACTTTAGATATATACACATACTTCTTGATTGACAAACAGGTTGCTATTAATAGAAATATGGGTACTTAGTCGTGGACATTGTGTGTTATAATAAACATGTGTAATATTAATAGCGATAATTTAACCACCCACAATTTACAACTTACACCAACTTTCTCCCCATGAAGAGCACCCCACCCCCACAATTTTTGCATCATCAGCAATTATTTTGTAGTTTTCAAGCTCTGATCTATTTTATGACAATCCAAACATTTTCAATGTTATTTTGTATTATATAAATTGATCTGAGAGTAAGCATTACATAGGCAATCGATATAGACTGTAAAAATAAAAATAATTGATGAATGTCTCAACAAAAGGCATGGTATATTGGTGATAGGTAATGGAATGTATTGTTACATGTTTTTAAGCAATGAATGGTCGGGAAGTCATGTAATAAGTAAAGAAAATTTCAAAAGGAATGTTTGCAATCTATTATTGAAGTAAAACCAAAGTTATTGAATGAGAATGGTTAAAGTGAGAAATTCAAAATGGTTAAAATATGAGCACCGTCCACGGTTGAAAGTTTAACCAGATAGAGATCCTACTCTGATGTCTAATGGTTTCATCATACAATAATAAAACAAACAGAAAGAAATGTGGGAATATAAAACCCCCCAGAAGAAAATGATTATGTACTCTTAGACAGTTCTACAAATTTAAATTGTGGCTTAGTTTATATTTTGTTTGATATTTTTGCTATTACCTTTGGCATATGAAAATGTCACAAGAATCTGATTATTGGTATTACCTAGTTCTCAAGTCTGCCATTATATAGCATATAGGCGTATAAGTATTGTACAGATTTGACACACACACCATACTTAAACAAGTTAATCTTTCCAGAAACATCAGGCCTTTAGGCTATTTCGATTTTTAATGTTTTTTGCATTGCTTACATTATATGTTTTTTTAGGTTTTTTTTTTTTTATAAACCAAACGTTTTTGTGCGTCATTTGCATTTTTACGGATACAAATTTTCCATGGCTTAATTCACACTAAATTGACATCAATTGATTATTCAACATTCAATTAAGAAAACAAGATGATTTCCTGATCAACTTGGAATCAATCAGAACAAAAAGTGTCCCATCAAAAGTTTTTAACAGGGATTATAGTATAGGTACCACTGGCTTTTGACCATATCCTATGTATATCATCTACAAAAGATGCTGAATATTGGCAGTATCTTTGTAAACACTAAACAGAATTTAAACACTTTTTTAACTGATAGTCCATTTAGAGATTCAACATCCATAAAATTGTAGCTTTCAAAGGATTCCTCAATCCCTCCGATGACATTCAGAGACTATAATATTCTGATTTGTTTTTGTTGTTATCAGTATCCAATATAGGAGGGGAAAAAAAAAAAATTAATTAAAAAGTTCATTCTATCTCCAATCTAATTTGACTTAAAATCAACTGCAGGAAATGAAACAGCTTGCTAATTTATCCCTCTTTTTATTACCTCTCTGACATTTAAATTCATAAAAGAAATTATTTTAATGTGAGATGCATTATAAGTTAAGTGAAATTATTTTATCTATCAGTAGTTATTATACATAATTTATTCTCTCGCTCCATAATGTTCAGAACTTCTCTAAAAATCAATAAAAAAAACAATATTATTAATCAAAATAACTGTATAAGTTCATGCATGGCTAATCATCCAAATATCCTGATGTTACACATTTAATTTACATAGTCAAAAACTACACATAAAAACCTTTAAATATGAAACATTAATACACAGGTCACAGTTCTAATAAATAGTGGAAATAAATAAGGGTATACACTTTGTGTAGGGAATCAACCTTATTGAAAAATGTGGTTATTTTAGTATTATTCAATCTAAATACTGCACCCATGATGAATAAAAATAATATTTTATCAATAATCGACATCTGATTTTAATAATATTGTAGCATATCCTTCCTTGTGCATGACAACTATTACTACTTATAGCTAAAATGGTTCAATGGGGTCTGGAACCCAGCACCCCATTTGTAAATGCAACAGAGTTTAAAGTGTTACTTTTCTGCAACATTCAGGCTAAAGACAGACAAGCACACACAATGCAAGGTGGTTACAAGGGACATTTTGCCCTGACAGTGGTGCTACAGTCTACCCTTTTTTCAATTTTCAGCCATAAGGTTTTTGAAATTTGGAATGACAAAACAATTCTTTTGCCAGACCCTTCATTCTACACCACTGATAATAAGAATCCAGATTTGAAAATCCCAAGGAAGTTTCTAGACCAACAACAGTATCAGACTGGGGACTGCCTATTAATATACTCACAGAGCCAGTGTAGACCCACACACCATATTCGTGTCACTTTGTCATTTCATTTTAAAATTTTCAAAAAAAAAATCATTTTAGTTTTCTTAGAAATATAAGACAAGATGTTTTCTACTTCACCAGACAGATAATGTGTCTTTAATTTGGCTTAAATTGCTGACAATTTGATTCCAAAACCGACTGTGTAAATTGTCCAAAAATCTGTAATTATATGTAAGCGAGAGAAAGTGTGCAATGCACACATGTTTTATATCAGGGAAGTGAAGTAGAAAGTACCATATATAGTCCATGTCAGTCATTGAGCAACATATTTAAAAAAAAAACATGCCCATTCATGTTGTTAATCTTCAATAATACATTACACATGTAAACTAGACATCATCATTTGATGACACATTATGATCTAGCACCAATTACGCATACTATGCATACAGCATCATTAATAATATACTAAAACTCTTATATTAAGTTATATCAACAGATAAGAATTATTCTTAATAAATGACAAGTGTGAAACTATTTATGCATTTACCAAGTATATATATTCATCTGCTCATTCCATTTCTTAAGACGTAAATTTCTATGCATCACCAACACCAGTTAAACCAAATAAACACACAATAACATAATTAATGACTTTAAACTTTTGACTTACCGTTTTATTCTGCATTCTTTCGTAGCCCCACCTTTTCGATCAGCTAAATCCGTCTTGGGCTGTAAATAGGGAAAAACAATATGGACATTATGGAACAGCATGCTTTTAGGTTAAAAAGTCTTATTAAATATAAAAATTAACGTAAAGTTCGTGAGAGAAACAGGATAAGTACACTCGTCAACTGTCTGCTAATTCTATCATAGCTTTGTCCAGATTTTATTGATGGATCGGTCCACATCTATGTGCTATACACTCAGCCCACATAGGAAGAGTTGATTATAGAGGTGTAGGGGGGAAAGCTTATCAGATACTTGTACATGTTTTATCTAGAGGTTCGCCTGACAAAGCCATGATTGTCATAGAAGGAGTTTGTAATCAATAAAGCTGATGGGTAGGCTGAATAAATGCCATGTTATTATTGAATAAAAATGTGAGGTAATAAAAACCTGTTAGTAAACAGTGGTAAAGAGAAATGAAAGAGTGGATTAAACTGATTTCTTTAAACAATTCTCACACAAATAATAAATAAACCACGCCATTTCTTCCTCTTTTATTTAAATTTCACAATTAGAAAATTACCAGGAAGAAACCTCTTAGAAGATAAACAATTGTAGTACACCATATGTCTACGTCACTTATTTTTTTTAATTGTGGAGGTGTTAGTTGGGGGAGGGAAGTCAAACAAGGTATATGAGAGAATCTTATCAAATGGAAAAATGTATTTCATGATATGCCACACGAATTTCATTTCCTAAAGGCTTTTTTTTTAATATCATTGTTTAGTATTATATTACCTTTTTTACTATTAAGTTTAGACATAATAAGTCCATCAAGTCCACTATTTTCCCTTTAATTCCAGACATAAAATCTAGTTTATTATATTAGACTATATTATCATAACTTTTATCTTTATGAACGAATTATTACAAAAATTTAATGGGTCTGTTTTTGATATTTTCTTTTAGGCCAAATCAAATTAATTTTAGTTCTTGATAAATAAATAGCCAATTAAGAATAAGACACGTAAACAATTTTTGTACCAGTCTACCCTTATCTTGTTTTTCTTCTTGGGGGCAACGCCTACATGTTCGTCATTTCTAGTAATGTAGCACTGTCATAAATATTTGCAGGCTTGTACTTTGGACAATTGCATATCGATTGACGACTTCTGTTTTTGATATGACACCACAATTGTACAATGGCAGCAATGACATTTTGCTCGGTTCTTGGTCCATATAGACCTATGATACTTGTTTGTTTTAAATTTCAAAACATGGATATAAAAGCTTTTGAGAAGACAGAATACATACTTTTTATATATTAGTTTTTTTTTTATTCCATATAAATAAAACAGAACTTTAATAGGTGTTCCCAAACAACAAAAGTTCAAATTGGTGTGACCTTAGCATTAATTTTTATATTATTTGTTTTTTTCACCAAGGAATAAAAAAAATTTGGATAGGTGAACTTATTCCGAAAAACAAAAGTTTAAACTAGTGTGACCTTAGTAGTATTTTTATATTATCATTTTTTTTATCCCAAGGAATAAAAAAATTTTAATAGGTGACCTTATTCCAAATTACAAAAGTGTGAATTTAGTACCAGTAGTACTTTTTAATAGTGATGAGTAACAAGATAAAATATGAATATTTGTGTATAGCATATTATTATTATTATTATTAAGTAGGACATTAAATTTACTACTAATGGATTACAACTGGAGTAAATGACAGGAAGACATTGATTGATCCAGCCTGGCTTGTCAGTTTACAGATAATATATACTTTAAAATAATGCACATGAGAAATTGTATCAGATGTTCTAATGCCTTGCGCATGACCAAGTACTTAGTAGGCAATGGGCACAAATTCAAGCCTTATGATGCACAATCCTCTGGTGCAATAATTTGTCATTTTTAAGTGATTTAATGATATCTTTTATTAATATATCCTGCACGACATCAAAAATTATAGGTATTAGTACAATAGTGCACAATATATGTCTAAAAGAAAAGGAATGTAGTTCAATGTCCCACTGATAATTTTCATTATAAATTGTCACAATATCAAGGTCAATTCGAGACCAACATACAGTAATTCTGCAGATGAAATGAATCTATTATAGGAGATTTGCTGGCCACCTGAGACCCTACTTTTGAAATCAATGAAGTCCTTGCGATGAACAATACTGTCATTGATAGAAAATGATATGAATTTTTGTGAGTTTTTTCTGGCTTGTACTTAAGCTAATTGTTACAATATCATAAATATTTTACTCTCAGTGTCATGGTGGGAGTTTATTTGTGAACAGGATGCCAGACAAATAATTCAAATACTTTGATAAGTTCACCATTAGTTCTACAGCACTGACATGAAACACTAATAGATCTGACCTATATGACAGCACAATTAACAAGACAAGAACATTCTTATCAGACTTATTTTATTGATCTAATTTGAACAGGGTTTTTTTCTATTTGTTCTACCAGCGTGCAGTAAATAAATAGCAACTTCTACGACAATTACTTTTCAATAAGTGTCAATTAAGAGAGAGAGGGAGAGAAATGGGGTTTAATGTTCACTTCACAGAAACTGGGTCATTAGTTGATTCCTTGTTGTATACACATTATTCTACTTAAGAGCACCTGCCACTGGAATGGATTGAGCCTTAATATCTCATAAACACAATACTAAGGTCAGTTTCAGATACAGTAACCATGTTTAATTTTTGCATGGTTACATGTGCAATGTAAGGAGGGAGAATTTTGACCAGACTCAATGTCAATCTCTATTTGTAAAGGGTTCTTTTACATGCATGCAAATGTGTACACGGATGGGTCTCCCATTCAAATTAGGCATACTTTAGAAATGAAATGAAATGGGGTTTTTAACGTCCTACTGTTCTGCCAATGAAGACAAGCATATGCCATACAATGTGCTACGAGGGAAATTTTGCCGGAACAGCCGTACTACGGCCTACTCTTATATCGAATTCCAACTGTCAAGGGATCTTTTATGTGCATGCAAATGTGTACACGTGACCTCGGTTTTTCATCCCATCCGAATGACTAGACAGCTGTCCTTGTCAGGCCCTCCGTCCTGCATCACTGACAAGGGGAAACCAACAAGGCATACTTTAGAAATGATATTTATGGAAAACTAATCTACGGATATTTTAAGATAGTTTAAATTGTTTACCTTATCTTGGGTTTTATCAGGAACCGTTCTGAAATTTAAAGAAAACAATTATATTATAATTATATTAAGGGCAGAAACAAATTTGCACTATACCGGCCCTATACTGCCTGCCCCCTTAAAGTAAATAAAGGGTAGAAACCAAACTACAGCAGTACCTAAAATAATAGGTACTGGTGTCCTGAAGACGTCAAGGGTTACCTGTTTAGATTTGGCATGTGACCCTTTCTTCCTGTATTATTATGGTTAGAGAAATGTCCAAAAATATATGGGATTCTTTCACGATACTTAGATGAAGAGGCAACTGAAATAGTGATGAATGTTAAAATAGAAAAAAAATGCCATAGAATTCTGTTTTATTTTTCAAAAATTAATTTAGGTTCAAAACAACCTACAGAAGACATGATTATTTATCAGTGGAAAAATCCTGGCTTTCAGCTAAATACTACATTGACTGTAAAATACTAGATCAGACATAGTTGGCAATATGCCAGTAACTTGTCCTTGCATCACCAAACTGATTTCTTATCAGGAACTACCACTGACTGACATAAAACACTATCCTTTACTGTATGACATAAAACTAGTGGTTTTTAAAACATCACAGTGTTCAAGTACCAATTAACTCTTCTATATAGAATCGCACCGAGTACATACATTTACTGAACAGTTTTATTATTATTATACAAACTATCACATTAAATTATCAATTCTAGTATTAAAACAAGTACCATTTAATCTCCTATAACAGTTTTATATTAATTTTACAATTTATTACTTTAATTTAAAATATCAATTAAATAATCTTTAGTTAGTCTTTTTTAGTGAACAAGTTTCAGTTAATCTTCTATAGAATCACAGAGTACATAACATTTACTGAAACATTCTATACACTTTTATAATAATTTTACAAACTATCACTTTAAAATATATGAACTTTAGCAAACAAGTACCAGTTAAACCTTTTATAAAATCACAGAGTACATACATTTACATAGCAATTACACAAACTGTCACTTTAAATTTAGTGAACAAGTACCAGTTAACCTTCTACAGTTTCACTGAGTACATACATTTACTGAACATTTAGGGAATGTATTTATGGGACGGGTTGCCAGAATAAATATCAATAGGATTATGTTATAATAAAAGACAGGATTAGGAGCCCCAAGCTGGATTTCTCCCTTTAATAAGTAAACATACAAAAAATCAGATGCCATATGTTCAAAACAATATTTTTTAAAAAAAGTAAACAAAGAAATGCCTTAGCTCAAATTCAATAAAGGCATAAAAATAATAATTTATTTCATTCAATTTATTACACTTCACCAGCACACAGCTCAATTCAGAAATAAAAAACAACATCTTTTGAATAAAGCATTAAAAAGAATGTATGAGATATTCAACATGCCCGGTATAAATAGGGAGCAATGAAATTGAATGTACACCTGACAACATGCCTGTTAGTTAACTCTTATTTGATACACAGTAGTGTACTGATTGAATACAGAATTGGATAACATGCCTCTCATACACCATTTATACTTTGTAAATCAAACGGTACTCAGTAGGAAAATGTGGCAACCATACTCATTCCTGAACAGATTGGGTCCACTGAACTTAAGTGGTCTTATTCCAGGATCTGGTAATATTCGGTTAAAATTTTGCTAAATGTAAGTCGACCTTTATATTATACGGTACATGTTTAAGAGACAATAATCATATTATCTACATGACTTTGATTGTTAACCTTTCTGTAAGGAGTTCCACGCATAACTGTACTGAGAACAGTTCTAGTGTAAATGGGTACACAATTTTAGATGGAGTGTCTGGAACTGTGCACTGAATATGACATTAATTCTGGCAATTAAATGTCAGTGATTGTTACCGGGTCTTTATTAAAGCCCAAACATTCCAGAATGAAACTTTTAAATATATGAAGTTTAAAATTATACACAATCAAAAATAATCTTCAACTTTACGTTCATTTGAGATAATCGGTAAATGAGATTCAAAAATAATCATATAATGCACTGTTAATAGATATTTCTACTTGGTAAATTAAAGATCGATACTTAATTGTGCAGAAGTCTAGCTGCAATCATTTCAAATATGCTGTGCTTTGATCGTTTTCATTTTATGGTTTTACGAACATGTGTGTGTTCTTGACAATATAATTTTATTACTGGTACTTAAAACATGAATAAATCCAACATCTAGTCAATATTTCTAACCCAGTAAATGTAAATATATAACGGAATACAAAACACACTTCAATAAATCTATAGTGTGTAGGAAAGACAGCTTGCACAATCAAACTATTAAGTCAGCTTTAATCAAAATGAGGTTAAACACATTACTTTTTGTCACAACTAGGCTAATGAAGACAGGGTATACACCGAGCAGAATGATATAGTGGGAATTTTGCCAAGATGGTGGCACTAGAGACTTCTCTTCATTTGATTTCCAACTGTAAAGGGATCTTGCTTTCCTAGCCAAGCCCTCTTTCTTGTATCACTACAGTAATAGATTTAAGGCTTCTTCTAAGCTAACCACTTTTATGCACTAAAATATATCTGGGTCAGATCCATTAAATCTTTACAGCATGACATTATCTGTTTTAAAAAACCTTTGCTTAAACATAAACCCAATGTCTTGTGATGAACAGAAGAAAGCTGATGTCTTGTGGTAAAACTATCAGACCAACGATAAAATGGATACTAGTAATAATTATCCATAATGAACACAGAACAAAACACTTTAAACTTTTTTTTTGATAGCTACGCTTAAAACTTATTGGCCCAATGACTTTATAAGCATTCATGCAAACATACTGTAGTCGTAAAACTCCCTGCCAAAAAGGATGTTTATGTCATTGAATAATTTTACTGTAGAACGGATACAAAGAAAGAAAACTTTAAGGATCTTAGCGTCTTTGATCAAGTCAAAATAACAGATTGAATTTGGTTGATGTAACATGTTATTTTGATTAATGGTGAAAGTATTGGATTCAGTTCACCTGATGTTACATTTTGGTCAATGATAGGGCAATCTAAATACAATTTAAAGGTTTTCATTCTCTCTGATTAGGTAAAAATAAATATTGAATATGCTTGATCTACTAATGTGTTATTTTTGATAGGTGGTGAGGCAAGCTATATATGATAAAATTTATGCTGCTAAAGATTTAGCATAAGCCATCTTTTAAATTAGTTTAATTTTTGGCTGATGGTGTCGACTGTGGACAGAAGTGATACCTCAATACAGACATTATCTATTGATAATGTCACGACACCAAACAATCAACAAATAAAATCCAAAGAAATCAACAGTTTTATTTCTAAACCAGATCAAAATTCTCTAGTCACTTTAAATTAAGAAAACATACACCTACCAACTTCATTCTCTAATGAAATAATTACTAACTGTAATATTAAGTAATACCAGGTGAATTTAGAAATCTACCGGTACCCAATTAAAGATACATTATGTAAGATTTAGATAAAGAACTAGCCATTCTTGCTATAATAGTTCAAAAGTAGATGATGTAAAATGAATAATTTGAAAATTTCATTCAAATTACTCTATTGCAAGCGAAGATATTAGCCTTTGAAGGTTTGACAGACGTGTGTAATAATTTCATCCAGCGTACTGGTTGATCGAAGCTATGTCTCGGTCCTCCATATTTGATTAAATCAAAGTATCGCTGAACCATTCTAATCTATTTAATATCGGAGAAATCTGATGCCATCGAGAGTTGATTAAGGCCTGTATCAGTTAATTAATGTCTAATTAATACTTTAGAAAACATTTCAGGCCTAAAGAAAGACCTGCAATAGGCAGATTTAGCGCTTGCATAATGCATATTTAAATAAAGAGCTAAATCTGTCTATTGTAGGAATTTTATCTGGCTTTCAAATGTTATGTAAATTATTATTAAGACATTTAATCACATGACAATCTCATAATCAATTCTCTCTAGAGAGAGTTTAAGTCCACTCAACACAAACTAGGCCATTTCAGGACTAACATATGGTTCAATTTTATTTTAATAATTCGTTTGCGCGTAGGAGTCTTTAGCAGAGGACCTGGAGAAAATCCACAAGGTTGGACATGCCAGTTGACTCTACGAAAGACCTTATGATATAAAGCGTATGTGCTAACCATTCCACCATCCAACCCACATTCTAGACCATCGAATGGCTGAGATATTGAATGGATTAGACCATATGTACCTTAAAATCGTTTAACTTTAATATGTGCATCAGACAATCAATACTTTGTTTATTATCAGCTATTTCTTGTCAAAACTTCAAACACTCAGAATAAAGTAATGTGACGGAATATATTATATTCTTTGATATCTTTATTATTATATTCTCTTTTATTATTGGTACTACTATACTAGCAAGAATGGTCAGCTCTTTCTCTAAATCTTAAATAATGCATCCTTAAGTAATTAACACTTTAATTTGACCTTAAGTTTTCTTACAATTTCTAACCAAAAGAGCAAAACAAACCACACAACTAAAACTTAAAATCTCTTTATATAGCAATGCAACTCTTATCTTTTATCAAATTAAGAGAGCAGTTCATCTATCCATTTCTAAACAGATCGTGTTGAATGTGAGAACATAAAACAGCACTATTCAATAAGTTGATGCCACAAGTTAATTATTGATGGTCTTGTTACGTTATATGCCAATAATATGATCGTGTTATTAAAAATTGGTCCTTGAGACGAGACCTGATGATGTTTCTAAAAGTAATGATGTGTAAAATCTATACCTTGATAATTATTATTGACAACGGGCGACTAGACGATGTATATTATAATAAATGAAATCTACAATTATTTACGACTATGTCTAATGTTTACGTTCTAGACAGTTGTGTCAGTATAACATACACAATACATTATGTAAATCACCACATAATTATAACCAAGCGCACCCCAGGAGATTGATTCAGTGTATCTTGAATCCTTAAAAGCCAGTGATTGTCATTTCTAGTTTTAGGACAATATCTAATTAATCCACAATATAATCTACCCAAATTGATTAGTTAACCATTAATAATATTAAGAAAGAGATAGAAGAATGGAGTTTTTAAAACGTTCACTTGACACAAAATAGATCATTTCGGACTAATATATGGTTCAATTTTTTTCAATAGTTCGCTTTAACAGTGGGAGGAAACCGAAGGACCAGACGAAAACCCATGAGGTTGGACAGGCCACCCTGTTCCTTGTCATGATCCACTTTAAGTAATGACAGCCCTTGTGAATTCACACGCACGCATTAAACCACTAGACAACCTACCCCACCCCCAATTACGTTAAGAAACCAAAAATCAAAATATCAACAGTTGATAACCTACCACTTTGGATTAAAAAGATGTCCATCAAAATATTTTACCCTACAAATATAGGTGGTACCGGAGTGAGAATGTCGGAAAATTTTAATTCATCATATATATGTTTGTAGATACTCAATGGAATTGAATCATGTTTAGACGATCAAGAGACGATCAGTGCCATTAGATGAGTTAGGTTGATCTGACATGTTATCTCATTTAGTGACCAGACAAACTTTATACCATTCAATTTTACAATATTAAATAGAAGTCAGTTTGTCTAAGGTCTCTTGTTTCGGTCAAGACTGGCAGTGAAATTGACTGTCTATAGAATCGACTGTCAGTCACTTAGCATGCCATAAAATTACATACTTCATTCAATACAGTTAAGTATTGTGATAAAAGTGATGAGAGAGAGAGAGAGAGAGAGAGAGAGAGAGAGTTTAACATCCACTCGACACAAACTAGGTCATTTTAGGACTAACATATGGTTCAATTTTATTTTGCTTGTGCATAGGGGTCTTTAGCAGTGGAGGAAATCTGAGGACCAGGCGACCCTACTCTTTGTCACATACAAGCGGGGAATCGAAACAGGTAAAAGGAGTTTAGTTGAAATAAATTGTTATATTGTGTTAATGAGATGTGTTAATTTGATATGCATTATTATTGTTTATTTCCTTCAACAGAGGATATATTCATTATTTCATATAAAATATTTACTACTTACAGGTTTGTGGTTAGGTTTTTCTTCTTCTGATCTTTTTCTTCTTTTAATGATTCTGTAAGAAAAACAAAATATTATTATTTCGGAAATATTGCTCATGATGCTGATAAAACCCGAGATGAAAACTGAAGGAAATAGTCACTCTAATTAAAGCTATATATATTCATGTGGTGTTATCAGCTGGTCACTCTATCAACATATAAAACATCTTTAAGAAAAGAGCATTATGGACCTGTGACGACATGATAATACCTTTGACCTTCATTAGACAGTCTTGATAATCAAAGCTATTCATTCAAAACAATTTGACAAATTTTCTGTATTGCAGGTTTTGATTGGTAGGTTGAACAATCTGCACATGTCCCTGAATGAAATGTAGTACTATAAAGAAAACTTTAAATAATCAGAGTGATCTGTGCTGTACAAAAATTGTTTAAATTATTCCCATAAAAAAAAAAAGACATTTATGTTTAGAAAATTCAGTTTGTCAACATTAGTTAACAGTATTGTTTACTGGTGTTAGCTGGAGTCTCCTTGTTTGTAAATCATATAGGTAAAAAAAATATTTCCATAACTTAGACATATTTCATTTGAGTTTCAATATGTCAAGGAATTATCCAGTCAATAATTTTGATTCTGATTGGTTAGATCTAAATTTTAATTCAAAGCATCATTACGACAACTGAGCATATACATCTAGACAATATTAGGTAATATTGAGACTAACATATGGTTGGTTTAAGCTACTAGATCAGGATTAAATGAAATGGGGTTTAACATTCTATTTTTCTACCCCAACCAGTTTATTGAAGACAAGACAGTGTCTTAAGCAAATTTACCGTATGAACTAACAGAGTTTGACTTTTAGACCCCATCTTTAGCAAGATATAACTGGTTCCCTAGAAAGTCTTTAATATCAACAATTTCAAATACAACAATGGAACAAAACAGAAATTTGCAATTCAGGCACATTGCAGGACGCGTGAATAAAATGTGTAACTGTCAGTTATAGAATCAGTGCACACAGTTTATTGTATTCTCTGTATATATAATTAACGTTTTATTTTACTAGCTGTACAATTTCTATTTATCAAATCCTGTTAAAATAACAACAACAGTATTTAAAGGTCATATCTCTCTCTCTATACAGTTATTATTGACAATTTATGACAAGTTCACTGACATTATTGATTTATAGGCTGACCCACGTTTTGAATGCTATTTACCTCCCTTTAGTCTATTGGCAATTTAAAGAGATTGAAATTTGACTTATGGCCACTTAACACCATTAGGTGATTTTGAGACTAACATAGGGGTGGAATCTAAGTCAGCCAGGGGAGAGAGGGAGAGAGAGAGAAATTGGGTTTAACGTCCACTCGACACAAACTAGGTCATTTCGGGACTAACATATGGTTCAATTTTATTTCCATAATTTCGCTTGCGCGTAGGGGTCTTTAGTAGTGGGAGGAAACCGGAGGACCCGGAGAAAACCCACGAAGTTGGCAGCCAGGGGAACTATGAGAAAGCCAACAAGCTTAGCCAAGTGACAACTCCTTAGACTTGCAGGATTGTCAGTTAGGAACACTGCGAATTGAAGGAATTGAAATCTAGTGACACAGAATCGTGTCTGTAATAGTTTTTCTGTTATTCCAGAAAAAAATAACGAGGTGTGAGCAGAATCATGATCAACTGAAATGTTTCAGATAAATGTTTGATCTAGATGGTATATGCATGCCTTGTCGATTGAAATACTTGTGTTTACTCGAATAACACCTTTCCAGGAATTGAAAGATCTAAATTACGGAACTTTTAAAGATACATTATGTAAGATTTATATAAAGAGCTAGCCATTCTTGCTATAATAGTTCGAAAATAGATAATGTAAAATGAATAATTTGAAAATTTCATTCAAATTACTCTATTGCGAGCGAAGATATTAGACAAGTTTGACAAGACGTGTGCAATAATTTCAACCAACGTACTGGTTGTTCGAAGCTAAGTCTCGCTCCTCCATTTTTAGCTTAAATCAAAATATCGTTGAACTGTTCTAATCTATTAAATATTGGAGAAATCTGATGCCATCGAGAGTTGATTATGGCCTGGATAAGTTAATTAATGTCTAATTAATAATTTAGAAAACATTTCAGGCCGGGGGTCACGTGGCTATGTGGGTAAGACGCTAGCTTGCTAGCCTGGAGGTCGGGTGTTCAATCCCTGCATTGGCCGAGAAAGTTCATCCAGATTTTCCGGTGTGGTTCTCCCTTGTCAGTGATGCAGGACGGAGGGGCTGACAAGGAATGCTGTCTAGTCGTTCGGATGGTACGAAAAACCGTGTACACATTGGCATGGACGTAAAAGATCCCTTGGCAGTTGGAATTCGATATAAGAGTAGGCCGTAGTGCCGCTGTCCTGACAAAATTTCCCTCATAGCACACTGTATGGCGTATGCCCGTCTTCATTAGGACAGGTTAGGAGCAGAACAGTAGGACGTAAATCTCGATTTCATTTCATTTTCATTTCACATTTCAGGCCTATAGAAAAACCTGCAATAGGAAGATTTAGCTCTTGCATAATGTATGTTTAACTGAGTATCCCTCGTATCACATGGAGCTGAACACAAGGCTAGAAATATCTAATTTTTACTTTATCAAATCAATACTGAGCTATTCTAAATAAAACGTTATTTTAAATAGTAATATAATTTTCTATCAAAGGAACTTCAAAAAGTCATTTTTGCATGACAGAAATAGCTGCAGGTGTTCAAATACTATTCTTTTTTGATTGTGAACAAAAGTATCTCTCTTATTTCTTCCACTTGCATTTTACATGTACTAGTACTTAATCTATTTTCAATTAACCACAAAATGGCCTAATAAACAAATTCTAACAATCTAATCAATATTTTCTTCTTGTTGTTCTTTTCTGGTCTTTTAACCTTATTTATGTTTATTTACAACAGATGGTATAGAATAGATACAAAATATTCTAATGAGTGATCCAACTAGGACACTTGCTGAATTTATTTATAAAGCCTTGTCAAATTGTGATAGATATTTAAAGACTAAAAGAGTGTATAAAATAATTTTGTGTCTTTCAAATCATTCATTGCACTTTGCACCTTCGATTTAAGTTTAAGATTAAATTGTATACGTTTATTACCATTTATTTCATATTTCATATATTTATACATTGTCAGACGAATGTTGACTTATATATCTACACAATATTCAAATACATCCACACATAAATCAAGTCATAAACTCATTTTCTCACAATCAGTTTGTTCAACAGCAAAACAAATCCCCCACTACAAACAAGAGAGATAGACATAGAAATGGTGCTTAACGGTCACTCGACACAAATTAATTCAATTGTGCGTAGGGGTCTAAACCCACCACTTGACTCAATGACCAAACCCTATGATCTAAAGAGCATGCATTAGACCATTTGTTTGACCAATCCACCCAACCCACTACAAACAAACAAAATGAAATATAATTTATTGTCCTACTTTTTTGCACCGACTGGGTTAATGAGGATGGGCATATGCCATGCAGTGTACTATGAGGGAAATTTTTCCATGACAGCGGTGCTATGGCCTACTCTTATATCGAATTCCAATTGTCAAAGGTTCTTTTACATGCACACCATTTTGTACACAAGACCTCAGTTTTTCGTCTCATCAAAATGACAAGACAGCTGTCCTTGTCAGACACTTCGTCCTGCACCACTGACAAGGCAAGAACGGGAAAGAACCTGGGACCTCCGCACTAGCTAGCAGGAAATATTACTCACTGAGCTACCGTGTCTCGACTCTCCTCTACAAATTAACAGGACTGCCCGATTATCACTATATACCAGTAATATTATTTAAAGACATGATCCCAGATATAGTTTAGAGAGAGAGAGAGAGAGAGAAATGGGGGTTAACATTCACTCAACACAAACTAGGTCATTTCAGGACTAACATATGGCTCAATTTGATTTCAATAATTCGCTTGTGCACAGGAGTCTTTAGCAGTGGGAGAAAACCGGAGGACCCGGAGAAAACTCATGATGTTGGACAGACGACCCTAGTCCTTGTCACGTACAACCGGGGAATTGAAACTAAGCCAGCTGACACAATGACAGACCTTATGATGCAAGGCACACGCGCTAACCATTCGGCCATCCAACCTTCCATGATATAGTTTAGATATATTTTAGTGAATATAAAACCCTCTCTGTGTAAGCTTAGTGTTTGATTATTAGCATTTTTAAACCCACTTGATTTATATATCATGTGAATGCTGGGATCGCTTGTTTAAAGATAAACAAAATATCTAAAGTTTCATCTGGGATGGGACTACTCTTGACTCCTCTATCAAATGAATGCCTTTCTATATTTGTTAATATTTACTCTATTCAATACCCTTTAAAAATGTTTGTATTACAAAATTTTTCATCAAAACAGTCATATGTGACATGTACAGTAACTCTCTTCAATAAGACTTTCAAGGAAACCTAGGACATGTACATATTCACGAATATCTCATAAACAAGCTATAAATAGACTGACCTAGTTCTTTTATCAAAATGTCAAAACAAACAAAAAGTTCAATCAGTGGTTATCTCCCTTAACTCAAGGGAAAAAAGTAGTCCCGGCCAGCCGACAGTTGTGCTATATATAGACCAGTAGGCCAGGCCCTGAGGCATAACATGACAGTTAATTGTGTTATGTGTAAATACTGTGAATATGATCAACATGTAATGCACATATTTTACACCCACGGCCATAGAAAAGAAAAGATTCACCTTGTGACTTGTGGAATCTACAGGATCATGATATAGTACACACTTAATTCAAACTTACAGAGAGGAATTTCTTAAGAAAAGTCACATGTTTGGCCTGTAAAATGTGTACCGGGTAGTTTTTATTCACATCTTCGCATAAAATTATGATAGGTTTGGTTTTTTTTAATATGAAGAGAATAATAAAAGGAATCTTACCTGAAGATGTATTTAAAGATAAACAATTACTAGATGTCTGAAATAAAACAAAATATGACTTTATTTATTTTCATCATCAAACACAGATAAAACGCAATGATGTAGACTAGCCATCTTGACATGATTTCTATCTAATCTCTGGCTCATAGCAGAAAATCCTACAGGAACCTCATTATACATTGTTAATGTTAGTGATGCCAATATATGGGAGATATTTGTATTTCACGATTTAAATCAGAATAACTTGTTTAACATACATGTACTGTCAACACGATATTAGAGAAGATTCTCACCTTTTGAGCTGGAAAAGGAAACTTATCTTCAGCTTTTCGTGGAGTTTGTATTCCTGTCAATGGTGGTTGTATATTGGTCATCTCCTGTAAAAATGTTAAATTAAAAAATAACAATAGCATTACATTAACATGATATATTTTTTAGACATATATGATAACAATCTGGCCCCATGTTGTGAGATGTATGAGAATTATTTGGCTACATGTACAGTAGTTGTGAGATAAATCAGAATGATCTGGCTACATGCACCGGTAGTTGTGAGATAAATCAGAATGATCTGGCTAGTTGTGAGATAAATCAGAATGATCTGTCTACATGCACCAGTAGTTGTGAGATAAATCAGAATGATCTAGCTACATGTACCGGTAGTTGTGAGATAAATCAGAATGATCTGGCTACATGTACCGGTAGTTGTGGGATAAATCAGAATGATCTGGCTACATGTTGTGAGATGTATGAGAACAATCAGGCTACATGTGAGATATATCAGAATGATCTGGTTACATGTAGTGAGATGTATGAGAACGATCTGGCTACATGTGATGTAGTGAGATGTATGAGAATGATCTGGCTACATGTAGTGAGATGTATGAATAACTATTTATAACCAGATCCACAATGAGTAAATCATGAAAGATAATTACAACCAAATCAAAATACTTTAACAAAACTGATCAATTTCAACTACCGGGTTTTGATTATTTGTTTGTACATACTTTAATATCCTTATATAATAAATATAGAGGAAGTTAACTTTTCAATAGACATGTAAACTTTTTATCAAAGAGATATTAAAAAATAGTAACGCCTACACAATACAAGATATTATTAATATTCACCGTCGCCATTCATTTCACAGATCCATGACACTTGATTTTATTCATACAGGTAATAGGATTGTATTTTGTTTGAAATATCTGTGTACATTGTGTGTCTCGTCCGCAGGTTTGTCTTGTATATTTGTTTATATGTGGTGTGGTCCTCCTGCAATCACTAATGTAGTTGTATTCATAGAATATGGTAGATATACAGTGTGTAAATTAATTGACTAATGGGTTCCAAGCCATTTCGGTCAATTTTCAAGACAATCTGTTAAGATCAACAAATATGACTTATATCAAATATACCATAATCTGTAAAGGGACTTTAACATCATTTTTAAGATTTAAGGGTAAAAAGAAAATGTGTGCAAACTAACCCCCACAAAAATAGAATAAAGAATGAAGTGACATGTAAGTGAATAAATTTAGAATTATCATAATTTTCTGTGAACTCCAGACTTATACTTATAAAGAAGGCTCTGTTAAAATGGCACTAATGTAAACTTCAAATAGCTACAACTTTCAAATTTAATCTGACACGTTGCCCAGCCTTTTAACAGTTTTAATTTTAACACTATTATTGTAATAATATTAAGAATCTGTAAATTTTAAAGTTCAATTAATAAAAATTCAGTGTCTTTCTTGCCTATTCAATATATCATATCAATTAAGAAAAAAAACAAAATTATTTATTATCAGGCTAGCACAACTTTTTGTCCCCAAAAAGATGACGAGGGAACACAGTGGGTTGGTAAATGGTAAAGTAATAAACTTACATTAAATATTGCATCCAAAACCTGAATATCAGCCTTTTTATTCTGTAAAATAACATTATTAAAATTCTTATTAAGGCAAAGCTCTTCAAATATAACTCATTCTACATCAAAATAAATCAAAATTTATATAATTGCCAAAACTTCAATAAGTTAATGGATATTATGTACAATTATTAAATGAAATGAAATGAGGTTGTAACATCCTACTGTTCTGCTCCAACTAGGCTAAGCATATGCCATACCGTGTGCTATGAGGGAAATTTTGCACGGACAGTGGCGCTACAGCCTACTGTTATATAAAATTCCAACTGCAAATGTGTACACAGGACCTCAGTTTTCCAAGGGGGAACCACCCTGAAAATCTTGTTAGTGAGCCAACGTCTTACTCACTTAGCCACTGTGGCTCCAATTATTAAATGTTTTCTCAATATTTCCATATAATTGTGTCATGTTATCTGTGTACAACCCTAGAAGAGACTATGTACTATATATTTACTTACTATTTCTGGGATAACAAGTTTTGGTAGGTTATTCCGCTGAGATTTTGCTTGATCAGACAAAGCTCCGTTTGGAAGAACCTGTGCTACTTTTGGCCCATGACTACTTGGCTTGGAATTCTGGGAAGGTGGCATATTTAGTGGTGAGAGAGGCTTGGAATTATGGGAAGAATGTGATAATTTCTCTGTTTTCTGGTTCGTGACATCTGTAACCAACGACTTCGACCTTTGACCAGCAACAGGACTAACACTGGGTCTGGAGTCACGCGATGATTGGTTTTGTTTCGCTGGTGAGGAATGACTGAATGGTGGAGGAGATGCCGAGCTTGAACGGGCATGACTAGGCTGGGAAGAGATGGAAGATGGGTTATGTGGCAGACTTTTACGATTGGAACTACTTGTGGTCGTGGCCTCCCTGCTGGAATGAGTTGGAAAGTTCAATGATCGATTAGGATCTATTTTTCTATCAGTCGGTTTGTGTTGGCCATTGTTGTGTCTTGAAGAAGGAAAATGTGGGCGATTGGGTATGTCAGTGATGAGTGGCGTCGTTGGTGCCCTCGGCACACCAATCATAGCACCAGCCTGAGCATACGGCTTCACTTCATCGTAAGAACCAAGGACTTTCTGTATCTTCTGACTAGTAAGGTCCATAAAATTATTTTGTACCTGAAAAACAAGACCAATAAACAATTAGTATGCTTATCTTCATCAAATTTAAAGATACATTATGTAAGTGCCTCAAATGTTATGTAAATTGTTAGACATTTATTCATATGCCAAGAGCATAATCAACTATCTAGAGCATTGGATGGTTGTGATTTTCAACGGATTAGTACATGATCGGCTGTTAATAAATTAATTACAAAATAGATGATCAAGACTGTTTATTATCGTAACAATGGTAGGAATGACGATCGAGACTACACTATTCTTCAAATGGCCATAACTTAATTCAGAATAAAGTAAATTTCAATATATTCCCTTTTCATTATCTATTTTTTGATTAATATATCGAAAACTTTCAGCTCTTTATCGAAATCTTACATAATGCATCTTTAATGCTTTTAATTCATGCACAGTATTAAAATATAGTGCACACACAAATATTTGAACATTCTAATTCAAATAATTTTGCAAGGCTTTTCCAATTGATTTCATTGTATATGTTATATAATTTCAATAATTATTGATATCAATAAAGATTTAAAGCTTCTAGGAATCTGAAAATGCGCCCCTCCCCCTCCCCCCCAAAAAAATTGGTCATTCATATTGATGAATATTTTTAGTTCCACTATATACATGTATAAGTGTCAGACATGTGTTTATATCTTTATGCATGTATTATCTTATCTATATCCCCGATCAAATCTATACTGATTTATTGATTTATTGATATTTCCAATTGACATGATACAATAAACCGACCAGAACTAGCCATATGTTGAACATTAACTTAAATGTTACACAGATTTATTGCATGTTTAAAATAAAGTAGGTAACAAAAGATAGGTTGCCAGGCAATGAAACATACATCCACAGCATCTAAGTCATCAACAAGGGTTGTCACATATTTTTTTTTTCTTTTGTCAGTAACAAGGGTTGTCACATATTTTTTTTTTTTCTTTTGTCAGTAATGAAAACATTTACACCACACTAAAATCTGATTACGAGTAACAATCTATCAAGTAATTATCAGAAATAATTAGAATTTGTTTGGCTTCTAGTTCTGCCCTATAGTAACCTTTAGCATACAAAACAATTAATAACAAGGGCCATAACTTTTGAAGTAATTATCCAATCTGGTTAAAAGACAGATCTTATTTCGTTACGTTTTTTATAGTTCAAAAATTTTGTTTTACTTGTCTTTACTACACTAGGATCTGGGAGTTGTTATATAACCCGCATTCTGGCAGTAATTATTGGAAATCGTTGAAAATCGATAAGATTTTTTGTCTCATGGCCTTAAACACTGTGTATAAATCTACTAAAGTCAACCGGATATTAACTTTAGCTTCTAGAGCATATACAAGATTTTCCAAAATGATCAAGGGACATAACTCTGGCAGTAATTATTGGAAATCGATGAGAATCAAAAGGCCTCTTTGTCTGTTGACATTAAGTTAAACACTGTATATATTTAAAGTCAATCAGATATTAACTTTAGCCTCGAGAGCAGAAGATTTTTCAAAATGATCAAGGGCCATAACTCAGGCAGTAATTATCATAAATCGTTGAAAATCAATAGGCTTCTTCGTCACATGATCTTAAACACTGTGTATAAATTTAAAGTCAAACCAATATTAACTTTAGCCTCTAGAACGTCCACAAGCAATTGTAGACGCTGGAATGCCGGACAGACGGGGTCGACAACAATATACGACCACATTTCAATGCACATGGATGGGTGTATAAAAACACCGGTATTCATATATTTGTATTATACACATTAAAAAAGAATCTAATAGTAATAGTGAAGATGATATCTCAACAGTCACATGTTCACATCAAATCGAAGCGATGGCATGATAAGTATCATCCAGTAAAAAAACACATTGACAAGCAACTTGATGTAATATACATGTAGCCTTTAATCAATGACTTCATAATCTAAATCATCTATCATTGTGTTCAAAACACATCCACAAGCACTTGACATAGTTCTTTCTTTTTTTCAATCACAGATTTTTTCAGCAACTATTAACTATAATTTGTGTTACTACTTTATACTGAACTACAGAAGTAGGTCTCTTGGTCTACATACAAGTACATGTTATACTAAACAAAACTGTGGAAGACCTAATTACTGTCTCGTTATTGTTCAACAATTTGAGTCTGGGTATTGTTCCACAATTTGGGCATTGCTCCACAATTGAGTCTGGGTATTGTTCCAACAATTTGTGTTTTGTTCCCCAAATTGAGTTGTGGTATTGTTCCACTACACTAATTGATGCTGTCGTGTTTAAATGAGTTGTATGTGATTCCACTCTATTATTAAACGGAAGGTCACGACTAGTTACGCGTTGATCAACATTGTGACACGGTCGATAAGACTAAAATCTCTGGGTACAAATAAGTGTTTTTATACCCTGCAAGACTATCGCAAAAATATCTCAAGTATGGCTGCTTTAGCATGATCACGAAGAATGCTGGTTTAATACTCTTGTCTTGATAAATGAAGTGGGGATTTCATAATAATGTGTTTCAGCTTTATTGTAACTTTAAGAATTTAGTAACATGCAATTTGCTATTAAGAGTTTGTATTAAATGGGTTATGGGAACTGTTTTATTAATTATCTGTATTTAGTTTGTTTTTAATTACAACCGAGATAATAGATATAATCTGTGCCAAGTCTTTTTGTGCCCAGGATTCTGGAATTAAAAAGTGCCAGATCTCAGACTTTGCAGCCAAATCAACCAGTCTGTCTTCAAAATTATCTTGTGATAAAAAATATTTTTAGGAATAAAGATACATGTAGACATTGCAAGTAAAGTGTAGTGTACACTGTAAGACCACATTTTCATGTCAAATCATCCAGTAGGTCTTCAAAAACATATTGTGATAAAATATTTTTAGGAATAAAGATACATGTACTGAGCACTTCTCGAATTAATTCATAAAGTGAAACGTATTAATTAATTGCAAATAATTCCTATGTCTTTTTTTTCATATACATGGATTTCTCTTTATAAGCTTACATTTTCTACATGTAAATGTGAATCCTCACCTTTTTGGGACCATCAAATAAGGGCATCGAAGGAGCATTGGAGCTGTTATGTTTTTTAGCCTGTCTAGCTCGAGCCTGCTGAGCTTCAACACGAGCCTTTTCCTTTTTACTCGCTCCATGACTACTGAAATGAAAAGAAAAATACATTTTATTATTACCTATACATGTATTCACATAGTGCTGATGAAAATATATACACAAATTCTAAATTATCTTTTAAAATATTTTCATTAAGCTTATTCTTTTTCTATGCAAGACAGATACAGTTGATAAACGGCTATGGCCTAAAACGTGTTCTAGAGTATTAAATCTCTTAACTTTTATTAGTAATATTACAGTCCTGTCAAGTGTCTTGCTTGAATACTACCCATGCATTATTTTTGGCGGATTGCTTCCTTTCTACCCGAACTTTATCGCTCAAATCCATTCTTCCATCCATTTTATGGTATTATTACACATTTACATCATACATGTACATGTATGTAAGGAGTTTATTCATCATAGTCTAAGGAGTTTTACTGTGTGTATGGATGGTTGTTTGCAGGCTCCATCAGTCAAGGAGTTTTACTGTGTGTATTGATGGGTGTTTGTAGGTTTACCTATTCTAGAACACCTGATATCACTTTGTTGAAGAGTCATGTACCAGGGATGTCATTAGAAGCTTACAACCGGCAAATTTCGTTGTTTAAATTAGGCCAATTTCTGGCTACTTTTCAGCTAAAAAAAATCAGCAATTTAATACATATAAAATTCCAGATTACTGACTCGAGAGTAGTAATATTGTGTAATATACATGCAGTATATAAATACATATTAAATAACAAAGTTTACTGTGTCATAATCATATTCATATTTAAAATTTGGATATTTACCAAATATCTAGCTGACATGATGCCAATAATCAGACAAACCATAGAAAAACCTTTAAAAAGTTTTATGCCGTCATATTGACCTGATTATTAAATATAAAATGTACATGTATGTCTCTTTCGGCTATTATTCTAAATATATTTAACTGGCGCGTATACCATTTTCTTGATTATGTCTACAACATCTCTTACTACTGTTCATCATGTGCATTATCCATACAGCAGTCCATTTGCTGATTATGCTATTTTACCAAGATTTCGTCTAATGGTTTGGAGGCAGCTATGGTGGGTGTGGCGCCACACCTGTTACCACTGTTCATCATATATTTTGTACATGGTGAACAGTCCATTTGCTGATGACAATATTTTGCTGGTAGAGTTTTTTTAGGACTTCAAATTTTGTCTAATTTTTTGGATTGTTCGAAGTTGGTTTTATTTTATTTTTATTACAATATTTACAATATGAATATTTGAAATCATACTCATATAATCTTTGAATGGCATTTAGTGATTGAATATAATACACAACACAGTTCTACTCATAGTCATACCCATATTCAATGATAAATCAAGTGTGCTATATCACAGTTTAAATAAGTGAAATTTAGCTGGAGCCATACAGGATCTCGATTTCTTTTTACCCCAGCTGACTAACTAGATACTTTTTCTCATCAACCACTGACAAGTGGAAACTAGGCTGGGACTTCCTATTATATTGACAGAGCCACAGTGCCTATGTGATACATTACTTTGAATTACTAGGATTACACTTTTTTTAACAGCAGATCTATATATGATATGATACTGTGAATTACTGCAGCATACACTTATATAGATCTATGTGATTTATTATTTCACAGTAGATTTATGTGATGTATTACTAAGAAACACATGTATTACACAGTAGATCTATGTGATATAATTACTCTGAATTACAGCAGAATACACCTTTTTTCACTGTAGACCTATGTTATATATTACGAATTATTGGTACTGACAAATATTTATTAGGCATAATATTGTAGTGCATTACACAGTACAGTCATGTCACTGGGTCATAAGTTTGTATTACATATTAGATCCATGTCATGTATGAAGAGAGTTTTATTTAAACAGATTTCATATTAATGCACAATGGGCTTGATATATCAAACAAGTGTATTTATACTGATTGAACTTTGGCAACTGTTCTTAATACATGTATGTAGGCCTACTGTGAATTAGATTTAAGCTTAAAGAACATGTGCATGTAACTACCCAAAATTCCATGCTCTATCAAGTGCCTTGATGAACAGGTCTATATACTTGCAAGAGTAATGGTGGTAAGTGATTGTAGTAATTATCAAGTCTCTCATACAACTGTAATTACTTAAATTAATTTAAATGGTTAAGTAACTCCACTTTATAAATGTATTGATAACTTCCAAATGCCTCAATATTTTGTATATTTTAAATTTTCAAACAAAAAATGATCTATAGGAATACATTTTGGTTACAGATCAAAATACTTAAAACTACTTTTATTTACATGGTCCTCTGGAATCAGTGACAGACCCTTGAATCAAGGTGGAGGTATTTATGAATACTAAAAACATCTACATATAAATCTAACATATCAATAAAATCTTCATGTATTTTCCACTGACCTTGATGTCAGTGAAACCAGATGTGGAATAATTTTGCTGAGGTTTGAAAATATTTCTTTTTTGAAATATCAAATAAATTCTGCATTTACATCTCATTATGGTGTACATGTAACATGTGTCTGGAGATGGTAGTATAACACTATATAATATAAATGTATACGTAAATCCTATACATGACCTGTAATCCACACATGATACATTAACAGTATTAATGCTACAAATATTGATCTTTTTCTGTTTAATTAATATTTTTATCAATCAGTGAACATCAGATATCATTTGAAATGAAATGCTGAATAAATGATGATTAATAATTAAGCTTTATTGTAACTAAACGCATCTGAGTGGTATTAACAGTGTTTTTAATAATAAGCTGACAATTATTATTAACCTAAATTTAACCCTATTTTAACCAGGGGACAGTTTCCATTCACATGTTAAGTAAAATCCGATGAGAAAACAAAAATGCTTATCAAAATGAGTCCATGAACGACTAGGATTTTCTTGGGGAGGGAACAGAAATTTGCCTGTTTACCAAACATTCAGCTTCACAAATCAAAAATGAGTGAGATGTTGTTTGCTAAGATATAATATATGACTACATGATTCACCATCCATGATAAATATTAGCTATAATTAAAGTAATATTACATGTGGGTTTTTTTCTATTGAATGAAGAACTGTTTTCTGCTTGACAAAGCCACAAATTTCCAAGCCTCACATCAGGCTCTGTCATATCACAGTTGCATGTTCAAGAGTATTATAGATGGAATTATAGTTAACAAGGGAGAAGCTAAAAATAAACTTGATTTGTCTAAGGCAGTAAGAAGAGCTAATATGTATCTATATATAGAATACAACCTGGTGTATTGTTAACTGGAATTCTATTAATTATAAACTGCAGATAATTTAAGCCTCTTTATTAAACAAGTCAACAATGAGGCTGATGTCCAGCGCTGAAATCCCTAAATAAATAGATGACGCATAATAATTAATTGCACATTTTTATCTTTTTCAAAAGTATCTAGCATTCAAAATGATTATCTAAACTCAAACTCAGTCAAGGTTTTGAAGTACCTAGTACTAGTAGTGAAACTATACCCTAAGTTTTATCACTCTCCATCAGACAAAATCAAAATTATCTTGTCCCAAGGCATCAAGCCAATGAAATTGCTTGCTTAGTTTTAGTGGGAATGTTAATCATTTTGAACTCAGTCAAGACATTCACCTAATGAACATCTACATCAAGTTTCAACATTCTACCTCAATTAAAAACAGGCGGGTTGTTATGTTCCAAAGTTTTGACCAATCAAATTTCCAAGTTTGAACATTCTACCTTAATTAAGAGGAGAGTTAGTGTGTCCCAAAAAGTGGGACAGACGGACAGACCCATTTTAATAGTTCCCTGCTTTCTTCGAAAGGCAGGGGACAATAAATCACTTATCAAATATCATAAAAGAGGGAGAGAAATGGGGTTTAACATTTACTCAACACAAACTAGGTCATTTCAGAACTAACATATTGTTCAATTTGATCTCAATAATTCGCTTGCACATCGGGGTCTTTAACAGTGGGAGGAAACTGGAGGAGCCGGAGAAATCCCATGAGGTTGGACATGTGAGTTTACTCCTTGTCACATACAAGTGAGGAATTGAAACCACACCACTTGACTCAATGACAGATCTTATGATCCAACATGCACATGTTAACAATTCGGCAACCCAAACTCCCAAAATATCATAAGAAAACTTCCTAACATGAAAACAATGAAATAAAATGGGGTTTAACAGCCTACATTTCTGAACCAACTGAGATTAATGAAGAGTGGCAAATGCCATGTGGTGTGCTATGGGGGGAAATTTTGCCTACACCATTGACATTGGGAGACCATACCAGAAAATCATGAGGAATTTTCTCAGCCAAAACCGGGACCTAAGCCAGTGCATTACTCAATAAGGCATCGTGGTCCAACCTACTTTCAAACAAAATAAATGTACTTATACATATACCATAGGACACAATTCTATTGATTACAATTACTGAGGGATGTTTCGACTAGTAGTAGTACCATGGTTTTTTAATGTCTGCTTCGACTAAAGTGATATTGCAGACGAGAACTAGGAAATCCGAAGCTTCTTCCTGTATTAGAATTTCTATTTTTACGGCCTTAGGCCATGAAGTGGTTTAGTGGGAAGTTCTTCCTTTTATTTAATAATAAAAAAACCAAATCGTTTGGTAGTTGATCTATGGAGACAGCATTTATGAGGGCATATATGTGTCTCAAGATTCTGTTTCGACTAGGTTTTTCTAAGCTTTATCAAGCCAAGTATTTCATAGAATCATGTCCTGTGTATTTCCAGCTCAATTACTAAATCTGAAACATAATAAGTGTAGGTGTTTTTATATGTTTTTATTAGAAATCATGTTTATGAGTCAATTCCACAGCTCAACATCATAATTATCATTATTATCAAGAATATTTTTTGCATAACACCACTTTCCACAAAGAGTGCTCAAAAGTGCTTTACAACAGACATGGTAAATCATACATGAACGTAAGTAAGATACTAATACCCCCTGGTAAGTTCAAGTAAAACAATCACAAATAT